GTGGACATCCTCCGCTGTGTTTTGGGGCCAGCAGCTGCCTGCCAGCATGTCCCAGTCTGTGTTTCACGCAGGGCTGTGTGCTGCAGCCCAGCCGGTCCCAGCTCAGCTCTTCCCACCAGCAGCTGACAGCCCGAGGTTCAGCCAAAAACACATGAGTCTGGACGTGTGCGAGCCTGCCTCTGAGCCTGCCTCTGAGCCCACCTGTCGCTCCGTGGGGCAGGCACACCTCTGACACCCAGGACAGATCCTGAAATGGCTTCCCGTGGGTTTTCCAGGTGTGTGCTGTGTCTTGGGCAGAGGCAGGTGTAGAGGGGCTGGAGAAAAAAACTGAAGGGCTGGCGGGGGCTGGTGGGCTGTGGGTGCCTTTGGAGAGGTGAGATGGCTCTTACACCATCAGGGTCCTTTGCCCCAGAAACCATTTAGGAAACATGCAGGGACAGGGGACAATAACCTCCATTTCTGCATCCCTGCCTCTCCCACTTCAAAGGTAGGCAGAGTTGTAAGCACAAGTGAGTCTGGAAAGTTAAGCGTATTCAGAGAACTGTGTTATTGAATACCTTGTGTTAATTTAAACACCTTCTGCCTGCCAGGCTTCGGGGAGAGGAGCATTGCCAGCTGGATCAGCTACAGCACTTCTCTAGTTCTGTCTCAAAGCAATTTTACTTCAAGTCCCGTGCGAAAACCCAAGGCCTCCCAGTGCAGAGTAAGGAACGGCCATGCACGAACACCAGGCTCTGCGGGCCAGGTGGCTGCTCAGCAGGGAATGCCATGGGGGATGCTTGCCCAGTATTTTGTCTGGTTTTACCTTCTTACTTGTCATATCTCCTCCCACTCCCTCTTGAACACGCATCTGATCCTGGGTTTGGTGGTTGTACAAGGCTCGTGTGTAGTCCTGGGGAGCCAGATGCGGGAACCAAATCTCTCCAATTTTATCTTGCGCTGAAAACATCTTTGCACGTTTTGCCCCCTTGCATCACTTTCCTGCTAGCTGCAGATAAGGATACTCGGAGCCATCATGTCTTGAAAAATAGGGGAGAATGGGAGGCTGAGCGAGGTTTTATCGTGTGATCATGATGTGAAGGGTTGTAGACATCTTGATGAGATGTTCGGGGTTAAAGGTGAGGAAAAGAGCGTCCAGCTTGCTGTGTCCCCGCAGAGTGAAAAGTGTGGGCTGTTGGCACCTTCTCCAGCAGTGGGCAGGAATGGAAGGAAGTAAGAGGGCCAGGTCCTAGGATACTTCTGCTCCTCTGGCTGGGCAGTATGAGGAGGGGCGGGCAGCCTTGTTCTGTGGCTGTGGAGCCTGCCAAGATGCCCTTCATCCAGGGTTTGTAGCCCAAATATATCTGTGTCAGGAAGCTGCAACCCCAAGTGACCATGGCCAGCCATGCTTGCATTGAGACTCTTCTGGCTGAGGCTTACAAAGATGTAATTTTCTTTGATTTAATTCTGTATAAACTGCAGAATTATTTTCCTTTAGAGGCTTGCAAATTATGGAAGCATAAACCACGCTAATGATCCAGTAAGGACGGCTTTGGATGCGTTCCCAAGAACAGCTACCCCTGGGCAGGACGTGCCTGGAGAGAACCGATGGAGAGCAGCCTGCCACGCTCACCTGGCTGCCTTCCTTGGGCCCCCCTCTCCCCCTCACCCCAGATTCCTCCATCTCTCAGGAACGAGAATCATTTCCTCTCCGGCTTCTTGCAGAGGCAAGGGCCCTGCGGACCTGAAGTTATCTCTGGAATGTGTGTAAACACCGAGTTCAATGGGATGCTGTTTGCCCCCCTCTCCTGGGGGGGTTTAGGAAGGGGTTAATATGAGTTTGTTTTACGGGTTCCTAGCCCTGAGAATTGTCTTCCTCGGAGGGCAACCTGGCTGACCCGGATCCCTGTGTGTGCATTTCCCAGCGTAAAGGGGAGATTCGGGGGGCCCCGCTGCGCATGTGGGATTTCAGTCCTCTAAGAACAAGGAGATGAAGGGCCAAGGGGGTCTTCCTCCTCAGCAGGGACCTGGGAGACGGTGTGGGATTGCAGCACACATGCACCGGGACTTGGCGTGTCACGTGATGGTGTAACTAACGGGATTTAGGCAATCCTTGGAGAGAAACCAGTTTACAACCAGAAGGGCAGGGTTACACATGGTTGTAGTGTCCCTGTCTTCAAAGAGCGTTGAAACGTAAGCAGGGGGACAAAACCTTAGAAATGACGTATGGGCTGGGACAAAATGCATTTCAATGAGAGGCATAAAGAGCTCCATCTGTTTGTAAAAAAAAAAAATAAATTTCAGATGTAAGTTCATTATGGTGTACAAATATGTTACTAATGAGACCCTCCTGGGCACCAAAATACTCTTGTATTTAGAGTAAGCAGCGGCAACCAGAACCTAAAGCTAGGCAAAATCGAGTTGAAAACGGGAGCGTTGATGCCAATGAAATGGTTAATTCCTAGATGTGTTGTCAGCGCTGGTGACGAACTGAGGCTGGATCCCTTCCAGAAAACAACACTTTAAACCGAAGACAGAGAACCCAGCTTAGCACAGAGGTGATCAGTGGAATGGCTTGGCCTGGTGTATACACGGGGTCAAAGTAGATGATTTAATGATCTCTTTTGGCCGGAAAGCTCTCTGTTCTCTTCAGAAGATAAATGAAGAAGCCCTTTCACAAAAAGCGAGCACTTGAGCTCTGTGTGTAATGAACTCTGCTGCTTCCAGGGGAACGGTGGAGCAGGAGCCGCGGGAAGCGTGACCTTGCTGCCTGCAGGCTGCTGAAGTTGGTGGCCATCTGTTTAGTGGAGGTAGCCCACCACCATCAAGGCCACCACTCTCACACGTGACGTTTCTCAGCTCCATTTTTAATTGCTAGCTGACGTCGTCTCCCCACATTTCAATAACATTTCCTCCTTTATCTCCATCAGGGTGAAGAGGCCAAGCGGTATGAGCAGCCTCCTGGGGAAGATTGGCTCCAAAAAGCAGAAGATGAGCACACTGGAGAAATCTAAACTGGACTGGGAGAACTTCAAGGAGGAGGAGGGGATTGTGGAGGAGCTGGCAATCCATAACCGAGGAAAAGACGGGTAAGAGGGACTTCACCTAGTAGTAGTCCAGCATTTCCCACCACTTCCTATACATGTAGGAACCCTATTGCTTGCTACAGAGAGAGGTCAGCAAATTCATGGGATTTCTTAAAGATTTATTCTAGGGATACATAAAGCCAGTAGCTGCTCTAGGTATCACTGGGTGGCAGGTAAGTTTGCAAGCACCTATCGCTCTCTGCTAACAGCCTCATGAGTTCTTCAAGTCCAGCTAGAGTCCGGCTGTGCTTTATCTTCTCTCCTACTAGTGGCGCAGATGCAGCGTGAACCGGTCTAATGCAGCCCTCCCATGAGGAAACACAGTTGCCTTTGCCCTGTTTTCTTTTTTTTTTTTTCTTTAAAAAAAAAAGTCTCAAATTGGGAGGTATGTTTTTTGTTCCATTCTTCAAATGACATGTTCCAGCTGCATCTGTCCTCCCTCCTCCTGCGTAAGGATGTATGCAAACACAGAACAGCTGGCAAGGTGCGTTAAAGATTATGGTAGCACTGGGCATTGATTGTGTGCATCAAGCAATGTTCACTCCAATGAAGTTAATGGAAGTATCGTAAAAGTAAATGGCGATGCTGTAAATAAAACAGAAAGTTAATAACATGCACTGCAGGGAAGGATAATGAGATCAGAAGCGGCATTTCCACTGCAAGTGCTTTGCTAAGCTCTGGGAAAACGTAACCGGCTTACTGGACAGCTCATAAAATGTGTTTTTATTGTAAGCTCTTCCTTAACTGTGCAGGAAAAACTCAGAGCTTCTGCATTCCAGCAGATTGGATTTTGTGTTTCAAGTAGATCTTTTATAACTGCTGGGGTTTTTCAGTCTGGCCTTGCACCCTTCCACAACACCGCTTCTCCATCACGTCTCCCCTGATGTGTTTCTGGATGCTTGCCCGTGAACAAGAGCGATTCAGTAGGAGTGCTGGAGGGGGACAGGGTGTTCCTCCGAGATCCCTGAAATCCAAGGAGGCGAGCGACTTACATCACATGCAGGTGTGGCAGAGCACGTGTGCACCAGATCGTCACCGGTGACGTCTGCGGCATGGTGAACGCCACTGTCAGAGCCCGGTATGCCAGGCTCTCTGTTGCAATGGCCTGTGCCTGGAGGCTGGGGCAGAGCCCGGCTGTGTACCAGGCCCTGCCTGAGACGGAGGAGGATGAGCTGCTCCCATGAAGCCCCATCAGGAGCTCCAGGCTGCTTTGGGAGAACCCACCTCCAGGGAAGGGTCCTGTTTCTGTCTGTGGCACCGGGCTGGATTGTTCTGATGGGATGTGGAGTGAGAATTTGCCCTCGGCAGATGTCCCGAGTGGCTGCCAAGGGTGGTAATAACGGCTTTGCTGCTCTGGGCTGGGCTGATGGTGGTCGTACCACCAGGAAGAGGCAGACCAGCTCCTGCCGCAGTTTCTGTACACAGTCATTGGAATCAGCCTGTATCAGGGTCCATCACTCCCAGCTGGACCGTACACACCCCAGGCAAGCCAGGACAACCCCTGCGCGAGCATTTAGTGGTTTCTCTTCCTTGTTCAAACCCAGTAGGTCAACCTTTCTTGGACAGCGGTTTCCTTTCCCACCACATATGGGCAGGACAGCTCGCTCTTCACGGTTGGCAGACCTTTCCAGAGACGCTAACATAATGATCCTTGAAGGCTGAGGAAGGGATCAGCACACTGAAAGGATGAGCGAAGCAGAGCAGCAATTTTAATAGCATCTGTAAGCTTGGACAGCTTTGGATTTTGCTGCCTGTCACATCCCAGCCTAGAAAATCCACTGGGCTATTGGCAGGTGATTTTTTTGTCATTAAAGCAAATGAGAAACATGATGCCACGATAACTTTAGTCACTCCTTACAAATCTGTTGGTGCTAGTCAGGCATGTAATGTGCGAGGATCAGCCGAGGATCTGCTCACTGCAAATTCCATCCACCTTCAAGGGAACGGAAGGGAGACGGGAGGAGCGCTGATGGACGCGCAGCCCACGGCACTCGTGCTTGCAGGCACCCGTAACGCCCGTGGTGGGAAGCACCGGTACTGAGCAGCCAGCCTGCGCAGGGCAGATCCTGCAGACACAGCTGCCACCGGCTTCAGGTCATTCTGCAAGAGCCTGTTGTCCCTTCTGCCGCCACCTCTTCTCCTTTTAGGCTCTGCTCACTCTTCAGCAGGCAATCATTTACACACCTCTATAAAAATCCTGGTGAGCCGTTGGTAACCCTTCACCCCAGGCAGGAGGAAGCGGGGCACTGCCTTGATCCCTGGTGCCAATGTGCGTTAGAAACCTCTGGTCCCCACGTGACTTGCTTTGTCACTGTGAATGGCAGCCTGGCAGGAAAGCCACAGTGTTTGCCCAATGCCTGCATGCTGCAGAGACGGTCCGTGCGTGTCTGAAGGAAGGCAGGAGGCGTTTCTTTTTGCTCAGAAGGGAGGGCAGGCTGAATTTGTCTTTTTTTTGCAGTAACCTCGCCGAAGTCGCTGTTCACAGCCCAGAGCTCCTCGTGCCTTGGCCCTCCCTGACCCTTCCCCAGCAGCCACATGTGTTTGGCCAGCACGCCGGTGGTCGGCTGAGCCATGGGGCCGTGGCATCTTTCTGCTGCTGGTGCCAGTTACCAGCCGGTGCAGCCTGGCCCCGGGATTCCCGAGGCAGAGGAGACACGTGCTGCCCCGTGGCTGTGTCCACCCTTGCCTCTGATTTTCCACCCTCCGCATCACCAGCCCCCGACAGCAATTTGCATTTCCCCAGCAGCAGGATCCGGGCTTGTGCCGCCCGGTTGTGTCAGATCCTGAGGGTCTGTCCTGGATTTGACGGGAGGGGCTGAAGTACGGAGCGGAGGCAGCTCTGCCCTTGGCTGTCGATCGCTGTGTAAATGGAAATGTGTAGTGGCCTCTTAATTGGGCCACCTTTGTAGGGCAGCCCCGGTGGGGGAGCAGCCCCGCTCCCAGTTCACTGGGTGACGGATGGTGGCTGGCAGGGGACTGGCAGCACCGATGAGACCCCCCTGAGCAGTTT